TGGCCGTATCAAGTTCCTGCCCGAGAAGCTCTTAAGATTTTGGCTATTGTTGCTTTTGGTACGGTTGCCGGTGGAAGTGCCGTTTCCAGTTATTATCAGCCATTAAAGGTTTGAATTCCATGTATTGTGTTCCTTCCGTTACACGTTGAAGATTTCAGCAGTGCAGCTGTTTAGATTGTTCAGTGTAAGAAAATCTGTATTTTTGTTTTTTTTCTCTAATTCTTTGTTCAAGTTATGATAAAGAAGTAAGTGACTTGTAACTAAAATGTGGGCAGAAGAATCCACATCAACAATTTGGGTAAGAAATTGGTGTCATCTCTCGAAAGTTCACATTGAAATTTTAAAAATCGTGATTAAAAATGCTGAATTAAGGACGGGAAGTTGCCTGAATTCTCACTTTTTTCATAGTTATGGAGAGTTTGTTTTACTTCTAGCTTTGCGCTTTCTCTTGTATTATGGAATTTGCATTTTTGGCGCTCTGTTTAGCTTTTAGACTTATGTGAGTTCCAGTAAATGAGTCCCAATCAAAATTAAGTTTCTCTAAACACTATTTTAAGTTGCATAACCGTCACTTGACTTCATCAACTTTCTTAAAGCAAGGATAAGGATTATTGCTGAAAGATATACGTTGGAAAATTGATTCTAGAATAATGTGATTTTACTGAGAAGTTGAGGGTGTTTCTGAGGGGTAGACCTAAAAACATTATAGTTGCTCAAATGATTTAATATGGAAATCCATTGAGTGGGAAAGCTGAAGACTGTTTAAGTCAAAACTGAAACTTTGTTTTGTTCAGTGATGAGATAATGTATCAAAAAATGGTTGACTTTGAGGACCCGCTAAATTAGTTTTAGAGGAAGGACGGCAGACATTGGGAATGCATAAAAGGATAGGGAATTCAGGATGCATAAGCTCCTGTAGTAGACCAGAGTTTCTTAACTGTTAGGATTCAATCGACAAAGAAATTTCCTTCAAATTATGATGTACATTGACAAACTAAAGGATAATTCAAATGTAAATGTGACTAAGTGTAATGTTTTTCTACAAGAAGTAGACAAAGGCTGAGTTTTTATTGATTTGATGTTCTTTTAAAAAGATGGAGCAAAGAAAGGACCTTAGAAATACTAAATTCATTTTGTATTGAATGTATTGCTTCCCATATAACTCAGAAGATGTTTTCGTATCTAATTTTGCTCATGTTGGGTATATTTGAAAGCTGTATTACCACACTGCAGAAAGTGCGACAAACAGATGGGATTTTTAGGCCTAATAAGAGGGCTTGTTACCTACATGGGAAAAGTTTTAATTTAAAGGGCTGAAAATTATGGTTTAGAGGAACTTGATCTGTCTTCTGCTCATGCTTACTGACTGCGATAAGTTCCGCTCAGTTTTGTGTCAACAAAGGTTGTCTCTCATACTGATCCTTGGTATTGCTAATGGATATCTCTCTGTGAAGTTGTGTATATAAAATTGTTTGTAGTTACGTCTTTTGACTTGATTTTAAGTGGTAAGATGTTCTCTCTTCAAATACAACATTGGGGAAAGTTCTTGTAATTTGTTTTTAACAGGATTACGATGCGCGTTTGGAGGAGGGGAAAGCCGAAATTTTGCGGAGATATAAAGGCAGTTATAGCCAGCACTCAGCAGAATAAGACTTATTCTTTGTTTTCGAGACCGAATGAGATATTCGGAGGTCTGCGGTGGCATTGTCGGCTAGATCTGTTTTATAAACTATTCTATCTGCTAATAATTTTGTTAGTTTCTAAGTCAGTCCTATGGTTAGTGTTTTGCTTTGTTTGTTTTCAGTCTTTTCATGGAATTTGTTGTCGTCTATTGAGGGATTTTTATCTAAGTCCCGATGACGAAAACTTTTTAGGGTCTTGGAGACACTCAACAGAAGTAGTCGTAGGAAAATCGGAAACTGAAACATTTTGCTGTGAATAATCATTTATTTCATATCCCTAATCACTTGTTTTGTCCAGAGTTTGAACTTTTCTATGAGTATCAGTTTACTCCGTAACATTCCTACCCTCCAATGACTTCTTGTGAGACGCCATCTTATTTCAACTTGCCCAAGCCAGACACATTCATTCTTCACTGTCTTTTAACGACATTTATCTGAGATGTTGTTTTTTTTTGATCCGAGGAAATCTTGCAGCGATTAAGGGCGAAACGCTGTGTTGGTGCATTAGAATCACCACTGTTAATCAGGAAGAGGGAGGTAGGCATATTTTCCAAACTTAATTTGGCGTAACTGAGATGGGTAGGATTTTTAATTCCAGGTAATAATACTGTGGCCAAATAGTCATTTTTGGTAATTGAAAAGGTTGAATTACTTTGTGGGAACCAAAGGCCTCTTTTTTTAGATTTAAAAAGTAGAATCTTTTATTGTCATAGAAAAGGGATAGAGAATGATGCGGAAGAAGAAACGGAAGGGATAAGGACTTCATAAATTTACGGTCTCTAACTGTAGACTTTCATCCTGCTGTCCATCGTTCTTGACGACAAAAGGATCAAAGTCACTAAGCAAAGTGCTCAAGTGAATTTACTCAAATAGTTTGTATTTTTTTTTTTGAATGAATGTTAAATTTCCTTCTAGCTTTGTTTTCCTAGCATAAACGGTCAACGAAATCATCCATTACATAATTTGAGGGAGTCGCAAAAAATATCTCGTTAACGGTGTTGGTTAACAACAAAGCTAGTATTTATTCACAACTGCACCAACTAAAAACACTAGCAGAAGTGAGATTGCACGAGAAAATATGTACATATAAATCACAGAATACCCGTAAAGTACCGCCTGGGCAAAAGATACCAGTTAAAACGACAACCAGTCATCACATTGACAAGATATGACGAGAGTTGCAAAAAATAAGCCACAAGTGACAAGATATAAAGGCATTTTCAATAAATAAATTTGATGATAAAAAGAGAAGTTAAGAACAAGGGTGACAAACTATAAATTTCTAGTGGTGTTAATAAGGCTTTGTTTTGTCACCCACCACCGCATTGGTGGTGTTGCTCAGTACCGGCTTCTCACAATTGCATTAAGTAAAGACATAAAAAAAAA